ATATATATGTGATCTTTCGAGAAATTGTCTTTCTTCTAGATTAAGAACGAATAGCTTTTGTTTTCGTCTAACAATGGTTTCGTTTAATAACGCTAAAAGTGCAATTTATTTTATATTGTTATGTAAGAAATTTAATGTAAAAAGTATTTGAAAATTAATCCCTTGATTAAGAATTGTTTACAAGTTTTTAGCAAACTTTAGATTTGTTATTAAAGTTTTCATGTTCGAAATTTTTAACTTTGAAACAGTTGGAAACTTGGAAAATTTTTCTCTCTCTCTTTCTGCACATTCCTTTCTCGTATGTACAAATAACTTCGATTTATTCAATCTCATCGAATATCTTACCTTCTCTCTCGTTCATTACTTCGAATTTCCTGATTTAAAACAATGAAATAAAAAATTTTGCATTTATATTCTCTGTAATATCAAATATTATAAAATTGCAGAGGTGAATGTTCAAATTCTGTGAAATTACATCTTTTTCATTGAATTTGATTTAGATTTACAAGTTTATATCAAACCTGATCCCATTACTAGATACAACAATGTCATGGAGTTATCTCCAACAATCAATTCCCGCAACTAGAATTCTCGCTAACACGCCGCTATAAAATGAAGATAATATACAACACGAACACTTTTCTTTTTTCTTTTCTTCAGCACCATTTCTATAATCGTATCCATAAAAATTTAAATGTACATAAACATCCGCAATCTAGTCATAAGAAAATTGAAAAAGCGTATTAATAATTCATCAAAACACTCACCTTCGTATATTTGCTATTTTTCGATCTTAATTATGCGATACTTAACCAAATATCATCGTATAATGTAAGCTATAAATACATTTAAAAATATCATCTTTCTAAATAACTTTCCAATAATTAACCGATCACTATCGTATAAAACGACTCGAGACATGTTCCTGAAAACTATTTTTCATATGTAATAGAATTATATCATACACGGAGAATAACTATCCAACTATAATTTTAAAAGTATTTGAATTTGAAATTAAAAATTCTCGAGATTTATTTTCTTCAAATCTAAAAACAACATTAAGAAATAAATTTCAACAATAATAATTTCCATTCCGAACATTACTTTCAAGTGTTTACTTTCAACAAAAGTATTAATATAAATCGAATCACGAAAGTTTCACTTCACATATGCATTCTTGTCCTTTATTATTAACAAGATAGATGTCGCCCGTAAAGAGGCTCCATCTGTCGTCCGCCACAGCAAGCTTTTACCTCATGCGCGGCCTGCCTTATCCTTTTAGGAAAAACACATATACACGCATACACACCCATACACACGCGATCGTGAATCGTTGAGATAAGCACGGCACAGCGACTCGGTGGTTGGCTATCGTTGCGCGATATCGCGATCGACACGAAACCATCTGCATCCTGACCGATACGATTGCGTTACATTTTCAGAAGTGCGAGAGCCTGAGGTGCGCCATTCCGGGAAAGGGTTGCGTGTCCACGATGGAACCAGTGGCTGACGGCACGCGCTGCGGGGAGAACAGGGTAAATTATTGCCTGGAAGTAAGCGAAGGAAAATTAGCGGAGTATCCTCGCCTCTGATCTTTCATTTTTGCTCGTGGCTAATGGAAATTGCGAGAGAGGACAAAAAGGATTTCGATCGAAATGGCGGAAATGGTTCGCCCTTTTCGTGCAATCGCGTCATTATATAAATAACATTTTTTTTTTTTTTTTTTTTTAGGGATGAGGCTACTCTCATTTGGGCAAAGTATTTCGTTATCTTAGATAAAAAGATGGTTACATTTTGTAATATTTATCGTTTCTTTAAAAGAGTAGTTATGTTCAATATGATTGCCGCAATGATTTTGACTATATATAATAGCATGAAATATAATAAGAATAGTTAAGTTCAATCTCCTAAAAGTGAGATTAACAATCTCAGTTATAAAATCAGATATAAAATCCACGATAAAAAATCACTTTGAACATAACATCCTAAAGAAGATTAATACTACGATATTGAAATATTTTTTCACATTTGTCACGTATATACGTACTGTCACGCGAAACGAATTCAAATCTCGAGAATCGATCTTCTCTCCAACGAGCGTGACGGAAGAAGAGACAAAAATATTTTCACCAGACTCGACGACACACACCCTTTTACACCTCCCTCCTAACTTTTCTTCTCGAATCAAATTACTTCCTTCTCTACAGAAGAAATAAACACTCTTACAAATTATTACACCGTAATTATACACCGGAAAAGTATTCATCTTCGAATCCGTATATTCCGTGTATCTATATTACGCGGGTAACGAATGCAATTTACATATCTGGAGGATCGCTCGAACCTTTTTTTTTTCTTTAAGTAATGGCCGATATTAAGATGGTTAACGATCCGAGACATTGAGGGGGGGGGAGCTTAAACGCAAGCTTTTGTTCGTTGCGCGACAACATTCGTTTGCGTGGGTGCACCGCGTCGCGAAGAATTATATGTTTCTACGTTGGAATGATACGTATTGTTTAGATATGCGATAATCCTCTATAAATACGTCAGCAAGGGGTTTTAACGGCGCGACTTTTGCAAGAAACAGGTCTAATAGGATCCTAGGCGGTAAAACCGTTCCGGATAAAAATCTCTCTCTTTCTTTTTCTCTCTCTGTCTCTCTCGAGTCCGTTTGAATCTCAATGCAAATTCGATTAAGACATTGTGCTCGTTGTTTTTTATTTCACCACGCTCTTATTAACTCGTGTGCGAGCCACGCTGTTTTCTTCATCGAATACCGTGCTTGCATCGATCGAAGAATAATTAAAGCTCTCTCGAGGTATATACAAAATCGAGGTGCGTGTCTTCGAGAGGAAATGAGATTGGGGGAAAGTATTATAAGGGATTTAACGTCGCTTTTTTTTATCTTGATTTTCTTTTATTCGATCGATTTGATGATACGGTTTTTTTTTCAACTAACTAAGTGGTTCTCAAATCGTGGATCGAGAAAAATATTTCTTACGAGAATGAGGATTCTCTTTTATTAATTCTTTTTTATCAACGGTGCTTCTTATACGATACAATTAATAGAATTGATTATGTCAAAAATGTGAAAAAATTTTTTTCATACGAGATTTTTAAATTACGAATCATTCAAATATTCAATGCGATCACGTATAATTTGTATAATTATTAAGCATGTAAATAAGTTCTTTTCTTTCAAGATTTTACTACATAAATCAGGTATAATTATTTCAATCGGATAGATACCTCTTGTCTTTCTGCCAATTCTTTTGGTGTTTGAGTCGGATTCCTTCGATTCACTTCCTCGTCGAACTTTCTCGACGCACGTGAACGATTCTCTTCCAAATTAAAATTTCCGGCTTTAAATCTTTGTTACGACTTTTTCCATGTTTCGTAAGATATAGTTTTCTCCCAGTGACGCGCAAACTATTTTAGTAGCTTCGACAGCCGATTTCCTGAATGCAAAAATTAAACAGTGACGCGAACGATGCTTCTCGCACACAACAATGCTATCGCTCTAACTGTCGCATAGAACTGGAAACTGTTTAGAGCGCTCATCGCGACTTTTCTTAAAAACAAAAGAACGCTCTTTCAGATGGCGCCACGAACGATGAAGCAATTCAGTGAAAAGTTACGAAAGAAAGGGAGAGAAACTTATTTGCACACTTAATAAAAAATTGAAGTATTACTCGAATAATTTAAGAAAATTAACGCGCGTTGTGGTGTCGAATGTTCCAGAAACGTTGATAAATATCGAAAAGAAAAAAGATCGTACAGGACGTTTAAGACAACAAATGGTTGGATAATTATTTCCGTCGGATGTATAACGTTGGGAAAATTTAGCGGTAACCGTCAAGTTTGCCTTTCAGAAGCTCGCTAGATTCAATAACTATGCAAATTTCACCGCTATATTTGACTTCGGATGATACATGATGTTAGAGTGCCGTGCGAAAGTTTGCGTTTAGGAAGGAGGAAAAGGAGGAGGAAGAAGGGGGGGCACGTTTCGCAGTTCATAATGCGTTAATACTCGTCTCCGGCCCCCAAAGGATCCTCAAAGCTATCCTCGGTGATGCGGTGTCTCTGAAATCCCGTGCCGTAACGAAAAGAAAAAGGAAAAGGTCGTGGTTGTCGTGGAAGATAAATCAACTTGTAAAATAATACATCTTTTGCGCCCGTTCCCCGGGAAAATCGAGTTACACAACGAAGATAAATGTTGAAGGGACAGGATAAGATAGATGTTTGGAACGCGTTGGAAATACTTGAAATAATTTAATCGAGATATC